CAACAAACAAACCAAAACCCAACAGCTAAACCATATTTTAGCCTCTGCCAATCTCCCTTTATCATACTTTGTGCATAGCATTTTACCTCCTAGCAGGTTTCACTTTCAGTGTTGAACCATACTACAAATGCACCAACTTTCTAAGTGCATTTCTAGTGACAAAGATATTCATGTCAGAGTCCCTTTTTACTGCGTCCCATGAGTCATTGCCAATGTGCTCTAGACAAATTTCAGTTTCTCAGAATTCTAAGAAAACTTTTCCATCTTTTATAAAAATATCCTATACAATTATATTCTCACACCCCATTTATATGTAAATGAATTTTCTGAAAATACTTGTCTACTTTAAAAGAAAAAAATTAAAATCCAAATAGATGTCGATTTCACTAAATCTCCTTAATGTGTTCTTAAAATGTCTCCACTGGACACTTGTTAAAAGTGGGATTTGGGTGTGAATTTTTGTCCAGTGAAACCTGGCCCAACTCAAGCAGAGTGCCATGTTGTGACAGCTTGTGGTGGTGTATCCCCTGTCCTGCTTAGGCCAAACTATGATCTCAGAAATGCTCATTAGGCCTTGGCCTTGAAGAACAGCACCTGGGCTCATCTTTTCTTGAGCTTATCAGAAAAACTGTTCCCAGGAACTAGCGCTGTCCAACAAGCTGTTGGTTTGCAACAAACAATATTGGAAATTTTTTTTTCATGTCTGAAGAACTGCCCAAGGGAAATAACACTTTTTGAAGAAAATTACCTACCCGAACTGCAGCCAGGATGAGAAATCATGACCAAAGCTAACTCTGTTTTAACCCTATAACCATATTCCAAAGTGAGACCCTTGGAGTTATCCTGGACTGCAGCAGCTGTGACCAGCTCTTCCCTCTGAGCAGGGCTTCTCAGAGCCAGCAAAGTCTCCAGCCAACTGTACTCAAAAGATTGCTGAACAACAGTGATGGTGATACACACCCTCCTCCAGACTCAATCCTTTGACCACTGAGAAGATGTAAAGATATCTGATGCAAGTACTTCACTGAAATGGAAGGGAATTTTTTCAGAGGTACATATCTTACTTGCACTCCTTGACATCTGTGCGCATGCTAATGTGAATATGCCATAGCAAATGTACTGGGAATGTTGCTCTTCTGGATTCTTAAGTATTTTAGATTTATAATTAAGTTAGGCCTGTGAGGTACTGTCGGGCTATCATAAGTGCTGTATGAATTGTTCAATTGTTTAACTTGTTAAGTTATAGACTAACTACTGTTAAGTTTATTTTTAAACCTTTAAACCAAAAATTTCATAGGCTTCATTTTGCAAGTGGGTCTACTCTGAATCTTGTGAGTCAACATTAGGGCCTTCTTTATTCCTCTTGATCTTTATCCTTTCCAAGCATTTATTTTCCTCCCCCTCCTCCCCTCTCAGCCCCCAAGCCTTGTCACAGGTAATTTTGGTTCCAGATAGAATGGGTTTAGATTTTTGTATGCTTTTTCTCTGCGTGTTTTAACTATATAGGAAGTAGCAGGGTGAACCTGAGCAATGAACTTTGTAATGCTTTTGCTTTCACACCAACCCTGCTTTTGCAGTGCCTTTGCCAATAATTCTTCATGCAACCTTAAAATACACATTCACAACACAAGTCTCTGGAATATCTTTGCTCTTCACAGTAAGTGCTCTCAGAAGGACTGCTGCCTACTGAATCATGGTAAATTATTTTCCTTTGAAGGATGACTTCATCCAGATCAATAGACTGGTAGATCTATTTGCAGACCACAATTTCTAAAACATCTTCTGGAACTTGGAGTCATGTATCAGTCTTTCTTACTTCTTTTCTTCTGCCATATAGTTGGCAAGAGTTTTTCCTGCAAGAAAAAAAATGTAGAATAAGAGAGAGCACATGTTCTCATGTCTGATGGTGTAAAAAGAAAATATTGCAGAACACTGCTGCCTGACCAGAGTTTCAAGGGACCAGAAACTTCCTTTTTCTTTCTTTTTCATTTTGGCAGCTCTGTTTCACAGTGAGGCCAAGACAGGGCAGGAAAATAAAGGAGTACAGAAAGTTCAAACGAGAAACAGATGTTGGGAACAAATGTTGAAACAATACTCAATGCCCCAGCAGCTATTTGCTTCAGCACCCTGAACACCTCAGGAATATAGGAATATATAGGAATTAGGAATATAATGTGAATATAACAACACATATATCAGTACCGTGATGGAGACTAATAACACCTCAGCTTTTAGAAATAACCTCATTAAGAAAAAAAGTATCTGAAAACAGCATTTAATATTTAAAAACTATTTTAAACTAATTAATTTATGATTTACTTTAACTGAATTCGAACCTAACAATACAGAGCTTGATAATATCATTTTTTAAATATTAGACAACAAATTACTCTGAAATTAAATTCAAAGGCAAAAACACTATTGAATTGAGAGTTAATGGAATGCTAACTTTCCAACAGCTCTGGGGGGACCTTCTGTGAATATCATGGGGTTAGTACCTGTAGAGTAAGTATAATACCATTACATAAGTTAACAACTGAATAAACATATATCTTATCTTGGTTGAGCTGTATCTGATTATATATCTAACTGCTTCATATACTTCATATAAGATTCACATATTTCTTATATTGGCTAAGCTGATTAAAGTCTGTATCCCACTACCTCAAATATTGTAATCTGGAGTTTTGACACCTTTTATGCAGTACTGATGAGGTCTTTGAAGAACACTACCCTCTAACTTCCATTGAAGAAATCTGATGCTGCAATTTTGCATTCAGCTACTGCCACAAACCATACTGGCAACAGCCATTATGGATGACGGAGCTCTCCTACAGAGAGCTCCTGCAATACCCAGCCTGGTATCAAGCAATTAAGAATGAATGAACAATTATATTATTGTTAGTACAACTTTGCTCCTCACATTTCCTGTTTTGTTGAGAATTAGAGATTACAGACATGAGCTGACCTTTGTGTCTAAAATTGAGTAAGAGAGGCTCTAGATAGGATTTATTTTAAATAATTTGAAAAATCATATTCTGAACTGCAATTTATTTTTACTTATAAGAAGGTGAATAATAGAGTAACCTTTAAGCAAGTCTTGGTGAATTCCTTAATTAAAAGGAAAGCATGATTCTACCAACATACAAAGATCCAAAGTATTCTGTAAGAAAGCTGTTTTGCCACTAAGTCCCTTGCTGGTCATAAAAATTTTGAAATATATCCTTAAAGTCAAGATTATAACTAAGCATTACATTGTAAGCATATATGCAGTTTATACCTGTGCATGTTATATAATATATATCCTAAAAAAATCAGAGCCTAAATTTTGTGGCAACAGATTTTTATAACAGATGTAATACTAGAGAGTATTTCCTTTTAACTGAAGTAAAATCTCCTGGCTAGTTTCTTGTAACTTTCAGTAATATCAAGAATCTTGTGATGGAATTTAAATATCAAAAAATAGTCATATTTTTATGATTTAATAGATAATAGATAATAGATTTTTAACATACTTATCTGGGTCTCATACATTAAACAGAGTTAAAACAGAAAAAACTCCATGGCAGCAAAATCAGCTAATGATACACATGTGCTAAGAGCTTTGTAATTGTGAAAAAGGTCTCTCTCTCAACCTGAACATCTCTGCACATTGCCCCTGCTGTCAAGTAGACAAAAAAACATTACCATTAACCAATGTGAACTTTCATAAAAAACAGTGTGAACTTTTAGAAAGCTGTCCCTTTTAGCAGTGAAAATTTTAGTAACTTTAATAAATAAATTTTAATAACTCCAACAGTAGTCTTTTATCTTTCTCATATATCACAACTATTAGTATCAACACTGAACCATGATTCTCATTAATCACCACTTAACAGTATTGTGGAAATATGCAATTTTCAAAGTAGTACTCTTTACACTTTAATAATTTGATTTACCAAACTAAAGCTTTGTTTTAGAAGTGAGGAAGCTTCACACATCACCTCCTGATCTGTGAAGTTTGATGAGTTCCTTGGACAGGACTCCTGAGGGAGGAATCCTACCTGAATACTGCTCAGCTTTAAACTTGACTCCTAGGTCAGTACCAAAAGGAAAAGAAAATAGAGAGCAATCTTGATCAGTCAGGTGCCCACTGCTATACACCCTGAGACTTTACCTCCCCAGCTGCTTTTGTCCATTTACTTGATGAAACATGGCACATGACTCAGTTTTTAATTACTGTAGGGAGCACTCAAGAATCACCTTGTTGTGTCTGGAGTACATCATATCTGCTTATGCTTTCAGACTTAGGTAGACTAACAGTTTCTCCATATTTCTGAGCTTTTCATCACACCTACAATGACACCCATGCTAAGATTCATCCTATCTAACTAATTGTTAATTGAGGCCCGTAGGTCAAGAATCTTGTCATCCTAGACTTCTGTTATCCTCAGCAACTAAATCTTAGATAAGGCAAATAAAATTATTCTATGGATGTGAAATTCTCTTCCATTTTAGCCAAAAAGTTTCTCCTCTACTTGTCTGTTCATATCTCTCAATTTGTAGTAATGATGCCATACTACTCCCAATGCCACTCACTAAAAATTTCATACTAAAACTTACCTTTTTCTTGCCCACTCATTCTCTGCAGCTTTTTCTTTGCCATACAGGCAGTAGATAGTCCCATTAATCCTATTAGTCACTCCAGTACTATCCCACAGACCCCTTCCCCATCCATTTCTAAGCTCCATCATCCAAACTCCTTTTCAGGGACTTGGTACAAGGACTCATCCTACAGCTCTAATTGTAGACATCATGAATGTGCGCTCCCTGTGCATCTTTTACTGTGAATTCAAACAACTTCTCTCTGTGAATGAGTCAGACCACTTCATTCTCATCTTTTCCAGTACATATCTTGTTTGAGCACCATGACAAAGACCCACCATCCACCTTTTGCTCATGGTATCTCTTCACAGTGCTTCTGCAATTTCTTTTCAAGTGTTCCTCCTGCAAGGGATCAGAGAGAGTTTGGTCTTTTGTCTTTTTCTCCCCCTGAATCTTGTCTTTGAGTAGTCTTTTCTGTTATCCTAAGATCAGCAGTTATCTCTGGACTGAAACACAGAGTTGCTTTTTTCTACTCCAAACTCATTAACCAGGTTGTAATGTTTTCTGGATATGGAATGTTCTGAGTTACCCATGACACATTCATGGGAATTTTTTTTTAATTTATAATAATACTTAAGGAATCTAGCAGACATTAGAATCCCATTTTTTACTTAACACTTTACCTGTGTGTAATAAGAGTAAATTTTGGCCTCACAGAAAAAGCAACTGAAACAGTCAGCTGAACTACTGTAACTGTACCTTAAAAAAGAAAAATGTATGATATAAGAATTATTAAATAATGTATTTATGATGGATTGTAGAAGAAAACAATGTGCTTTACACATTTAAACTTACTATCCCAGGTGGAAGTTCACCATAAAATCTTCTTTTTAAACTCTGGTTTTATACACATTAAAATAATCATTAAATTCAGATTTTTTTTTTTAATTTAAATTCTCAAAGTGTTACTGAATGTTGAATGGATTCTAAGCAGGAAGGAATTTCAATGTTAATACTGCTTTCTTTGTAACAGAGGGATATGATCATTTATGATGTAAATATAGCAAGTTTCCCAAAAGTGTGTGTTCTAATGTGTACATAACAACAGCAACACATGAAGACTGATGTCTTCTGTGTGTATGAAGACTCAAGAGCGAAGAAAGTAGTAAGAAAAACATCTGCAACATTAAGAACAAATTTTTCTATTCTATCTTAGAAGTCAAAACAACTAATTTCATAGAACCTGTTTACAAAGGATAAAGGAATTTTTTATTTTACTGTATATTTTTAAAATAAATTTCTATGTTGTAGAAGAAGCTGGTATCATTTTCCCTTTATTTCCCTACACATGATCAGCAGTGGGGGCTACCGTTTTGGGAGGGGGCAGTACCCCACCCCTTGGGGAGTCTCCTTGCTCCCATGGGGCTCCTGAGATTTAGCAATTTTGTGTTAAGTGATTATTTATTAGTTTGGGGGGTTTTTTGCCTGTTGCTGTTTTGACTGTTAGTAATCGCTGTTTTTAACTTATATCTACTAATATTTGTTCCTTATAGGTGGAAAAGGATTGGCTGAAATTAGGGAGAGGAAACTCATCTTAATAAGCATTCACATCTTTAAATTGTAATGACAAAAAGAAAGGGAGGAAGCCCAGAACAGACATCTTGGTATCAGTAAAAAGAAACTCCTCTGGCAAAAGTCAAAGCATAAACTATAGAAAACACCAAGTTGCAGAAAACCTTCTGGTTTTGTTGTCCTCAGTCCCTAGTTAACATTATTAGCACTTCTTTCTATGAAACTTCTTAAAGTTTAAATTTGATTCACAAATCATAGAAAATTAATTGAAATTTCTAAAACTTACTTATTGTCATTTTCAACACAAAACAAACTTCATATATATTTCATTACATCTGTACTGAACATACAAATGCAAGTGTCTGCAATAAACACATATTTCAGTAAGTATTTCAAAAATATAACTTTTATGCACGCCTTCTAGGATCAAGGCCAGTTGTAGCTACAAGATGGTCTACACAGCTGCTACCACATCACATGGACCTGGAGATAAAGGGAGAGAAATAGGACCCAGCTATAACCCCCTATTTCTTTAAATAGTTTTTCATTTCAACTCCCCTGTATTGTTCTGCAACATCTTATGTTCTACAAATAGAAGTATAGAATTGTAGAATACCCTGAGTTGGAAGGGACCCATCAGAATCACTCCTGGCCTTGCACAGGACACCCCAAGAATCACCTCACATACTTTAGAGTATTGGCCAAACACTTCTTGATCTATGTCAGGCTTGGTGCTGTGACCACTTTCCTGTGGAGCCTGTTCAGGCTCTGGGTGAAAAACCCTTTTCTAATGTCCAACCTAAACCTCCCCTGACACAACTTCAGGCCATTCCCTTGGGTCCTGTCACTGTCACCACAGAGAAGAGATCAGTGCCTGCCCCTCCTCTTCCCTTATAAGAAAGTTGTAACTACAGTGATGTCTCCCCTTAGTCTCCTCCTCTCCAGGCTGAAAAGACCAAGTGACTTCAGCTGCTCCATGCATGGCTTCCCCTCAAGGCCCTTCATCATTTTCATAGCTCATAAATATATGCTGCCAGCAACGTGCAAACACAGACAGTTGTTCACAAAGGAGAGAAAATGGTTCAGACAAATGCATTCCAATACTGTGAATACATGCCAAAATACTGGAGTGAAATACTGACACCACAGGAAGAAATCTCAGAACAAAGCAGCAAAATACAGAAGTGTTATATGAGGCAATGCCTCAAAGCATCCTGACTGTGACAAACTGACAAGAAAATCTTGACTTCAAATGCATTTAAGTCAATAAATAGTATGACAAAGGGCTGACAAGGAAGCTATGAGGCACAAAGATTCTTAACTCTGGACAACCACTGAAGTTTAAAAAGGAAGAAAGAAATAAAGCCCTTATTTTCAGCAACAACTAAATGAGAAGAAAACAACATTGTGGGATGAAGAAGGCACATTACTATGTCATCGGGGCCAGAAGTATGTGATCAGGGCCTACAAGAAAATTTCAAAGCAAGTTATTTCAGTGTTCAGAGGAAAAAGAAAGGAAACTTGAAGTTATGACCCCATAGGCTACACAGATGGAACAACTCTAACTGATACGAGGCCAGGCTGGCACTGGTTGGGTTCACAGAACCACAGCTGGCTCCCTGCTCCTGGTTTGTCTTTCTCTTTGCAAAGGTGCACAATGGAACCTAAGACTGGCATATGCAGGGATTAGTTTTGCATGAAGTATCAAGACAAAAGGAAGGAGCTCTTTATTTTCCTTGGAAGAGCTTTCCTTCTGGATTTTTTTGCATCAAATTTTACATTAACTGCAAACAAAGAGACCCTAGCTGTGAGATTTTATCCAGTAATTCTTAAACATATATTGACAGCATTGTGTTTATCACATCCCATACTAATCTATACTCAGATACAGTCAAATTCAGCTCCTTCTTGCATAGATCACTGTAGCTGCCTGACATTGGTGGTACTACAAAGAAAAGTTTACTTGATGATGGTTGGCTGACCTTTGCTAAACTGCATATAACTGTCCAAGTCACAACTTTCATGAAGCACCAGCTGTCATAAACACCCCTCATCTGCAGTGTAACTCAAGCATTCTCAGCAAACATGCTTTAAATGAAATTCAGCTCCTGTTGGAATAAAATTCCTTTACTACAAGATGAAGGGATGAGTTCAAAGTATTTTCAGATATTTACTGATCCAGATGACACCTAGACTGCACCGCCTTCAAAAACATCCTAAATAGAACTTAAAAATAAAACTTTGAAAGGACTAGCTTGGACTAACCTCACTTGTATGTAAGGCTTAATAAAAAGCACAGTCAAGGGTGATTTTGTTGCAGTTCACTCACATGAGATGCCTAAGTACCATTTAGAAAGCAAACATTAAAATATAACAAGATCCAAAGCCTAGGTCCTGCAGATAAAATGTATTACAGAGACAACTGGCAACAGTTGTATTTGTCTAAATAGTCAGACCTCAAAGCAGAATTCTAGGCGCAACAGTGCCATCCAGGGGCCAGCCAATTGCTGGTAAATTGCTGGGGGTTTCAGTTTGGGTTTTTGCTTTTGGTTTTTTATTACCTCCGTTCTTTTGAATACTGCAGCAGATAAACAGGAATGAAAAAAAAAAAAAATCACACTGATTCATTCTCTACACGTATTAAACTTTGCTTACATTTAAGCACGGGTTTTGCAAAAGTTTCAACAGAAGAATATTTGTAGCAATTTAAACCAAGAAATCCTTCTAGCACAAGGAACTGGCAATGATGAGGACAAATCTGATGAAACTTCGCCAAAATTTTCAGACTGAGGCATCACTCAGTCCAAAGCACATGCTCAGCCACACTTCACCACGGCTATTTAAAATTTATTATGTACATAAAAATTGAGACAACCAAAGCTTCAGGACGTATAGCTCCTACACAAATCTTCCTTCTGCACAAATGGAAAACTCAATCTAACAATTGTAAAGCGTTTCGAAAATGGAGGCTGTTTTGTCAGAGTGAGGATAGGGCAAAGTCTAGAGCTACGGCAGCAGTCACAGTTTACTCCTGCAACACGTTCCACTCAGTAGCAACAAGGCGGGAAAAGCAAAAATCCCAAAATATTTCTATCATGAAATAGTCGTGGGGGCAGAGGCTACTTCAGTTTAAGGATTCGCAAGCCTACATCCGTATCCCGCATTTAGCCGGCCGGCCACGCCACTTACACCGCCACCAGGTTTCACCCTTAGGAACGGCCCAGGCGCCCCGGCAGCCCGGGCGCGGATCCGGCCCCGGCCCACGCCGCTCATCTCGCGCAGGCACCGGGAAAAGGCCAATCAAAGCTCGTGAACCCCAGTTTGAACAGGGGCGGGGCGGGAAAAGCCCAATCAAAGCTCGTGAACCCCAGTTTGAACGGGGGCGGGGCGGGGAAAAGGCCAATCAAAGCTCTTGAACCCCAGTTTGAAGGAGGGCGGGGCGGGGAAAAGGCCAATCAAAGCTCTTGAACCCCAGTTTGAACGGGGGCGGGGCGGGGAAAAGGCCAATCAAAGCTCTTGAACCCCAGTTTGAACGGGGGCGGGGCGGGGAAAAGGCCAATCGAAGCTCGTGAACCCCAGTTTGAAGGAGGGCGGGGCGGGGAAAAGGCCAATCGAAGCTCTTGAACCCCCGTTTGAGCGGAGGCTCCGGGGCGGACCCAGCCCGGCCCCTCGGCGCCTGCGCGCGGTTTCGGTTCGTGCGGCGGCGTGCGGAGCGCTCGGAGTGGCCTGCAGGGTTCCGTGGGGCCATGGCTCCCGTGCTGAACCTCAACAACGAGGTGAGACACCCGCGGGCCGGGGGGATCCTGGGCTCGGCAGGGCCGGGGCGGCGGTCAGCCGCGGCGGTCGCCCTGCGAGCGAGCCGGCTCGGGGGCTCTCCCCGCAGCCGGCGTGGCTGCCTGTGAGCCGTAGGGAAGGCCGCAGGTGACTGACGCCGTCTCCCGGCGTGGGAAAGCGCATCCTGTCGTGCTGGAGCTCAGCCGTGATGAAAACAAATATCTATCGGACGAAGTGAAGCTGCTTGTATGGGGGTGCCACGCGATTTCGACACGGGTGCCTCGGTGCGGCGTCCTGTTTCTGAGTGTCGTTTCATCATGCCTGTCTTGCTCTGTTTGTGTTCACACTGGAGTTTTGCAGGTGATCTAGCGGACCCACCAAAGCCCAGGCTACCTGTCTCCTGGATGGCAAAGACATTGCCTTGTTTTCTTGGACATGGAGGAACTGAAAATGAAAAATTAATAGGTTATGGCTAATTCTTCCTCTTCTGTAAGAAGTTCGGTGTTTCGTATTTATTTCAGTATATGTTTTTCTTTTTTTATAGTGTGAAATCCGTTGCGTCTGTTTCACTTGTGATGGGTTTTGGTAACATATTTGCAAATCATTGCGCACAGTAAGCCTGACACAACTAAAGTAACCTCATTTTAGGTGTTGTGCCAACAGTTTGGAATAGCTGGCACTTCTGCTGAGCGTGTGTGATATGAGCATCTGAACTTAGCACTATGCACTTCCAGAATTCCTACATAACTAACAGCTTGATTGCAGTTTTCAGCAGAACAAAAATTACTTTTTGGCATATGGTTACTTGAGAGGGGTTAATTTGCAAGTTGATTTCAATAATTTAGTAAAGTGTAGCCTCTTCATCAGGAAAAATGTTTGATAGTACATAAAATCAAGGTATTTACTCAGTAGTTTTTGGTTCTTGCTGTTAACAAGTGTAAGGTCAGAAATGAGTGATTTGATATTAAAACATACCTGTCAATCACCAAGGAAAGAAGAGAGTATTTCATTCGTTGTGATAGCGTGGATTTCTTGTGATTGACTCATGTTTGGGTAATGTTTTGTAGTCTTTCACCACAAAAATGCTAATACAACAAGGGATGAAAATAGAAGTGTTCATTGACTGGGGAGCTCTTCAGAATAAGAATACAGTAAGTTTCTGCACAAAACATCAGTAAGTACGCTGGGAATGTAATTTCATCTTACACTTCACACATAACTTTCTCCTGAGAGGAAACTGAAAGTTCTGGAAGAGGTAGATTGTACCAGTTTCTACAGAAAGTAGACACTCTGTAAGGTCCATCTGAGATATAAGGTAGGACAGAGACTGAAATCCTGGATGCCATCTCTTCAAGAGAGACAGAAGGTCAGTCTGGTTTAGAGTAGGATGAGACATAGTGTGAGTTGATTAAAAAATGTTTTCCACTTCTATGCATATGTCCTTTTTTAAGTGTCAGAGCTATATTAATTACTGTGGTGTTTAGTTATAAAATGTAAAACAAATTATTTACCAATACCTGGATATTTTATATCTCTTTAACAGGTACCTCTGTGTATTTGTTACAGAGATGCCTTTGCAAGAATACATTTTAAAAATAAAAAGCATATCTTCCTCTAATAAGAGATGAAATGGAGGAATTTTATTAGGACCATGTTTAAAGGAATAACTTTTGAAAATGCAGTCTATTCTATTCTTTCAACTCAAACCATTCTGTGAAATTCTGTGACATATATTTCAGGTTTTAATTCTAGAAAAGAATTAAAGCTTTTAATTAACATAAAATACCAGGTCCTGCTAAATGATGGGATCTTAAGGAATTCTAGGATGATAGATTTCAAAATTTTTTTTTACCAACTCACATTTTGTTTATGGGAAGAACAGATATTCTTGAGACCAGTATTTCTCAGTAGTATAAACTGGCACTTATCCTAATGTTAATTGACCTTTATTTTAATTACTTACTGGTTTATGTTTGATATTAGTAGCTAACCAATAGTTGTGTCAAAAAGCTTACTTCTGCAGTGTCTTCTATACGAGGTGTATGTGTGCTTTGAAACTAAAAGACATTTAATTGTATGATGATTTAATGATGATGATTAAGAAAATGTTCTGGGGAAGTGAGACTAATAGTGGACTGTGACACTGGTGTCCTTTCTGAGAGCTTCTGAACTCATTGGCTAATTTGAGAGAAATTGGAAAGGAATTGACACCTCAAAAGTTGTTGGGCTTTGGGGTTTTTAAATTATAATTTGTTTAAAGAATAATACCTCCATGGACCAATAGTCTCCCTACTGTTCTGATCTATGGGGAGCAATGAATGAAAATGTTGTACTGCTTAGGTAATTAAATTAATGAGAGATTTAAGGTAGCTGTACAATGTTAAGGATGCAGGGTGAAAAGAGAAAATTGCAATTATTGTGATGAGGTGAAATAAGACAGAAAATAATAAGAAACCAGTCATATTCACAAAAATTAGTTTAGACATTTCATTATTTTTTCTTTTAATGAAAAGTTGTTTGTAGCAGTGTTAGTGCTTCAAAATGTCATGCTTTTTCCATGTTAAGAAGTAGAACTTGTGCCAAAAGTGTATAAATATTTTCTTTGGTTTTCTCTAACTTAATGTATACCCAGATAATAGCAAACAAAGTAAGGTTTTGGCAGAACCCACAGTCAGCAAGGTCCAGTAATTTTAGGAAGCCATCTTGCTGCTGGTAAACAGCATGGTACAGTTTCAGTGTGACTGCATGACTGAAGAATTGAGATTGAAAAGAGTTAAGAAACACAAGTTTTTTGTAATGAGGGCATCATATTACTGTATGGGGTTGCTGCTTTTTGATTACTATCCAAAGAAAAATTGAGTGGGGGAAGCAGGGAGGGTGGGTGTAAAGGATGATGGAACAAAGTGAAACAGTAAAGACTAGAGTTTTTGGGAAAGAAGAAAATGCAGTATTTCTTACCATCTACTGCTCATTCAGTTCACTGAAACAAAGGAAAGCATAAGTTGTAGAATGAAAATTTCAGTTTTGCAATTCCATATTCACTGCATATAGTCTTACTTTTGAAAGGTTTATCTGTATTAAGCCTAATTGTATTCTCCAGTTGTGGTTACTCTTACAAGCATGCAGGCTGAAGGAGTCATTTTAAAACCTGTTGCTGTTTTGAATGTGTTTCCAATGTTAAAAATCTTTCTGAGAAATTTTAGGTGTCTTGCCACAGAATAGCTTCCAAAGTTAAACTTTTCTGGAAACATTTGCTAGATGGCAGCACATAATCATCAACTACCATGTATAAGGCCAAGTTTAAAGGGAGATAGCTCATATTAAATGTGAAAATTCTCCTTGTTGATCAGTACACAATAGAATGAAACAGAAGCTGTTGAATGTGAGCCCTACAGGTTTCTAGGGTTTTCTTAATAACCTATGCTTCTTAAATTATGTTGTTCTGCTTTTACAGTCCTAATTTGCTATCAGTATTGAATTACTGCAATAAATTTAGTTCTTTCTACCCTCTTTTTTTTTTTTTAATGGTATTCTCTTTGCAGCTACTTCAAGGAGCTGTGCTGCAGAAGGCTAATGAAGCTAATGCAAATTAAGTGTGTATACAGTGTTTTAAAAACAAGTATTCTAATATGTACCTCCATGAGTGCTGTAATAGCTAAAGTTGAATATTAGTAAGGCATCATATTATATAAAGCAAATTCTTAGAGTTGAGAGTCATTTCTACCTGTGGGAAATGCAAATCAAATTTTCCATACTTGATTGGATATCAAAACTCTGCTATCAGGTGAATTTTTGTCTTAAATTTGTAATAATTAATTGCATACAGACAGAATAGTTTTTCTCTGTATTTACAGAACCATAGGTTTTTATATTATAAAAGCTGATGTCTGCATAATGCTTGTCATCTATGATAGAATTGTTCTTTCCTAAAAGGTAGGATCAAGACAGAGCCATACCTTGAGAATGATGTGTGTGCACACACTTTTCAGTCTGCCAAGCAAAGTCCAGAATTAAAATTGTTATGTAGGGAGCTTAGTAATGAAGCTCAAGGTGATAAATTCCATTTATGTTGTTTTGGGTCCCAGCACTTTGTGTTGTGATACTGTGATGGCAACACTCAGCTCTTCTGCTCTTTTGGTTTAGGGCTGACATCCTTTCCTCAGATTTAACTGGGCAGCAGTTTAAGTAATGGCACATTTAGAAAGCAGAATGAACATGTGAATTAAGAATTTAGATTGGTGTATTGCAAAATCAAGTATGAGTAGCATGGCTGACCTTAATTTAGGGAAAAAGACTGACATACAGCCTCTGGAAGTCTGAAACTGCAGTCTTGAGTTTCAGCTGTAGTTTAATAATTGTACAGAACTATATCTGTAATGATTTAATTTTTTATCGCAGTACAAACAGATGTAAATGTATATTTGGAGATACTATATAAAGACATGGGTAGGTGTTGTGTTTGTCCTTAGGTGTTCAGACACAAATAAGACAAAAAACAAAAAGGAAAGAGCTATTTAAATTGGATTTATACATATCTTCATTCACAAATTGAAGACAGTTCAACTGCATCCTTTTATAAGTAAATAATTTCTAGTCACCAAAGTTTCTGTATAGCAGTAAAGAGAATGTGGTCTGAATGAAATATTAGGAAAGACTAGGGAGAGTGAAATTTGAGAGGGTCATTCATTCTTTCTGAAGCTGAATTGATTTCTATAACCAAGAACTGCGTCATGATTTTTTTCACTAAATGTGAAAGATCTGAGTATTTACCCATTACTTACTGTCCTTACTGTATTATATATTTCTTGTTTTTATACAATACATATAACATGTGTGTAGAAATACTTTTGAACTGATAATAAAATTAAAATTTTTTGAATGGTTGCCATTTTTGCAAGAAGCATTCTGTACAAAATGAGTATTTATTTGCAGTTACCTGAGATCTTCCATATTTTCAGCCTTCCTCAGCATTATGTATGACTAGTTTGTCACTCAGATATGA